ATACATATACACATATACATATATATACATATACACATATACATATACACATATACATATACACATATACATATACACATATACACATATACATATACATATACACATATACATATATATACATATACACATATACATACACACACACACACACACACACACACACACACACATACATACATACATACATACATACATACATACACACACACACACACACACACACATACATACATACATACACACACACATACATATACACACACACATACATATACACACATACATACATACATACATATAGAGAGAGAGAGAAGAAGAAGTCACTTTAAAAACCAAAATGATATCCTTAGGTGTATCACGTATTAACATCATTACTGGTTGACAGGTAGCAGTTTGTCCTACCTCATAGTTCTCAACCTCTCCGTCATCAACATCCAGCTCTAGATTGATAGTGGGGGCCACATTTGGGGGCACGGGAAGCATAGACCTGTATGTGGTAGAAGACACGGTAGACTAAATTTAGTGGACTGCAGTTGTCTACCCGTGTAGTTCCAACATGAACTTGAGAAAGTTAAAGTCACTTACAGGAAGTAAGGCAGGAAGCTGGGGTGGTAGGGTGATGGGGGCACAGCCTGCTGAGAGCGGTAACGCCGACTTGTGAATCGGCGAGGCATAAAGTGGGGATAGGGCTGTGAAAGACGGGACAAAGAAAAGAAAATGGATTCATTCCTCCCAGTGAAAAGGCTTCATTTTACCATAATCAAACAGTGTGGTCACGCATGTACTCACCACTGTAAAGAACTCATGCGACAGGGGGTCATGGTGCGAGAGGAACTGGAGTGGTGTGGCGGGCGGCAGGGTGGAGTGAGGCTGGTGGTGGTGGTGGTGGTGGTGATGATGGGCGTAGCTGAAGCCTCCACCTACTGAAAGCTGCTCTCCCAGAATATCAACCTCATTTTCGATCCTCTGTAAAGGCTGTGAAGAAACACGCTTTATCATCGATCATGACAATTGGATAACGAGGGTTGTGATGGGATAACAACTGGGACAAAGACGTTTACAGGGAGCTTTGTTGGCTTTTTTTTTGCTGCTAAATCAGGACAGCAGATTTTTCAATACGATACATTGTTATTTTAAAACTATTTTTGGGGTAAAAGACATCTTTCTATTATTTAACCACAACTTCAGAAACATGAATGGCTTCCTTCATGCATACCATGGTCCTTGTGTTTCCATCTTTAGCGCAGAATGATGAGAGCTTGTGTAAATAAAAAGCTAAACTATAAATCCTAACTCATTCACGTACCGATCGTGGCTGTTGCGTCTGGAAAGGCAGGAACTGTGCGGGTGTGGGGAGGTGGGGCGGGTGGTGGGAGAGGTGGGGTGGATGGGGAAGCAGGAACTGAGGGTCACTGGACAGCAGCGAGGGAAAGGCATAGGGCACCGGCAAATGTTGCATTGAACAAGCCTGTAGCATCTAGAGAAGAGGTGAATAAGAAGAGAGAGAAAAGTTAGAGATGCTTGTTTTTCACCATTGTGATTGTGATGTGCCAAGTCCTGCCACAAGGTGGAAGCAAATACCTGAAAGATTAACGAGCCCCTTTAAACAGGGAAATGTTCTGCAGGTCTTTCCTATATGTTACCCACTTTCCTTTTTGTGCACTTTGCTTTTTCTTTGGTCGATATATGAGAGACTGTACAGCACAAAGTGTACTTTCTTATCAACAAACAAGCCCACACACACTCCTACAAGATGCACAGTGCTGTGTTCTTCTCACCGGGTGGTAGTGTTGTCCAGTGCTGAAAACCACACTGCAGGCGGGGACTTGCTGTGAGGAACAGGTGGGAGGAAGGTGCTGGCCGCTGCACAAAGGCGCTGCCAGGCTGTGCGGAGGGACTGGGGTCACTGTGTAGGACACTGGTACACTGGCCTGCTGCAGCTGGGGAGAAAACACACCACAGTTAATATGCAGCCACACACACAACTCTCCAAGTGATCTAACACAAGTATTTGCAGACTAACCTGTTCATGCAAGTCCATGACCATGGCTCCTTGCTGCTGTTGCGTTGCATGATGCTGTTGCGGGTGATGATGGTGAAGGTGATGATGGTGGGAAGCCGGGTGCAGTAGTCGGGGCGACATGGTGGGAGGGTGGAAAGCTCGGGGCTCCTCCAAACCTGCCCCTCCAACTGTAGGAGGCTGACCATAGACGCTGGGTGTGTGTGTTGGGTATGCCTGGTGTGTGGAGGGATGGGGGTTGTGGTGGTAGTTTTCATCCTGGTGCTCTAATGGCGACAGGCGAGGTGCAGGGCCTTGGGTGGAGGGGTGGTGATGGGGAGGCATGTGACGGGTGGGTCTGGCGAGACGGCCGCGCTGGCGCCTCGCTGGCGGGCTAGAGGTGAGGAAAGAGGGACAGTTTTACATTTAGGACCATCAGTTAACCAACTCAGCTGCAGACATCAAGAAATCAACTGACCTGCGTCTGTGCCGAGCAGGAGTGAGGCATCTCTCCTGATGGTAGTGCGTGTGGGGGTGAGGTTGCCTTCGACTTGGGGGTCCTGACTCCCAGGGGCGGATGGGGGGAGACGGGGTGGATGGTGGGGGGGCGGATGAGGTCAGCTGTTCCAAAACAGACTGACTGGACAGCCTCTGGCGCTTTGGACTGGGGCTTTCCTCACCCTGCCGGGGGGGGGGGGGGGGGGGGGGGGGA